TTATTAAAAACCAGATGAAAACTTATATTTCAAGAGGAAAAATATAACGGCAACGATGATTGTGACAAAATGATGGAACCTTCAAATTAACAAACTAACAAAGATATATTGGTTGCCGGAACAAACGTAAAGACGGTCTGGCGAATCGCGAACAAATGAGCCCGGTTATGCACTCGACACGCCTTAAACGATCTAAATATTCTTCTACCTCCTAAGACTCCCAACAATATTTATAGTAAATTGTCTGTACATACACTATTTCCTTTTTGAACTAGATAGAAGACAGTAATTATCGTCGTCATCTGACGACGCACATTATAATATAATGAAAACTTTCAGCTATTCTGAGGTGGCAAGTGAGCTAAAACTTGCAAGAATCGATTACTGCAATAATATTCACATTTGTCATGCTTTTTTTTATTTGGGAAGAACGCCACAACCTCCCAAAACCGCTGCAACTCCTGTAAGTTAGGATCTACAGAACATGACATGAATAGCTGTCTTGGATCCCGCAACGAAATAATTCAGAAGCTATTTTTATATAGGAGAAAAAAAAACGATAGTTTTGACTTCACTAGGTGAATTTATGCAGAAGAATGACGTAAGCCTATAGGCACAAAAGAAACTGCACGACTGGAAGAAGCCCAGTCGGCAAGCACCACAGAAAATTTGACTAAAAACTAAATGGGTCCTATGTGTGAACTGTATCCAATAATATGTATGGCAAGAACGACTAAACGCACGGAGTTCTAGATTCCACAAGACCTGTATAATAAACAACACCTGACGAAAGAATTAAATTATCTGACATAGTGTTACGTTCACATTGCAAGAAGTCACACTCCTAAAGATGTGGTTGGCGGACTGCTCGTATTGCAACTCCGCTGTCGAACATTGGCACCATGGTAGATCAACAAGTTTAACTGAGTTGCCGTGGCCAGTAAGAAATTGGGCAACACAGTGATCCACCTCCAACCATGTCCTCTCCAGCCGCTCATGCACGGATAGGAAGAACTGATAATGGTGGCAGCCCTTGATATAATTCCCGTCTACACTGCCATTCAGTTAGGAGTTCGTCCCAGACGTCTCAGTTAATGGCTTAAGCAATCTAGAAATTTTGTTTTGGTCATGTGCTAGAAAAGTTCAGTAGTTTCATAAGTCCAAATAAATCGTTTGAAGCGGAGTTTCGTTGAAAAGTATTGTTTTATGTCGAATTTAAGAAATCATTAAGTAGTATACCAGTTTTAGAATCACCAACTTTGGTGAAATTGGCCACTACTAGCACAGTAGAATTTTTTTAAGTACAGTGACTTGAAGTAACGCAAGAAGTTTATGGAGAATACTGAAGCACTATTCAGGATAACGTAAGCAAACATATAGACGAAAAAATAAAGAATTGTAGCAGCAAGAGTCAAAAAACAGTTCTTTTGTTTACTGGCCATCCGAGAGTCATATGTGGAGCCACTACTATACTAGCGCGACTGCGATAACCCTGAGAGACTGCCTCGCACATACTCAACTGGTCCCTATTCAGACGCATACCTGCGCTACTCTCTTTACATGCGTGTAAATGAATCGCTTTTATTTCTGTTTATCTTTGATGATACGCTTTTGTTCTTTTAACGGATACATTTCGGAAAGCATGTAATCACACACTTGACTCCCCTAGTCCTTTCTATCATCCTACAACCAGAAATTTACCAGGTTTCACTATACTGCGGCTATTCACGGCGCCGCCGGTGGCTAGCACTGTCCATCCTTCCGCCTTCCAACTACTTATCTAAATGTGTTTAATTAGGCGCAGTTATTTATTGTTATCAGCAGCTGTCCTGTCAGTAGCGACTAGCGAGCACTGCTCACATGTTGCTCTATTCTACTTATCTGCATTTGTTCGACACAAACAAGCAGCTCTTTATTAGCCGTGACGCTTCTACGATCTGTTACTTACAAGTAAACGCATACATAGACATTGCACTGTCTGTGTGTGTAGACAAACATAACATCCGACTAAAATTATAAATGTGTAAGTCTGTAAGGATCCACGGATGTATGGATGTATGGATGTATGGATGTACGTTTGTTAGTTTTTCACAAAAATCTACTGGACGTATTTGGTACAGACCAAAGTTCATCATTTAGTAGATCGCAGTAGATTATAGTCCGGAATAACACATTTGGTATTTTTTACCCCGAGAACATGGGCCACGCGCGAAACAGTAGTTAACCATAAATAGACTTATGTTTCACTGTGTTTCACCCAGATACCGTACTTACTAACCTGCTCGGTTGGCACAAAAAATGGGCTAATTGAATATATTCATAGCTTGATACACCTTAGTCTTTCTTGCAGCAGAAGTGCAGGCCGCTTAGCTCGCCATGCCAGCATCAACGACATCATTCGTCGTGCTCTTGCCTCAGCCGGCGTACCAGCCGTATTAGAACCTAATGATTTGGTACGTGATGACGGCAAGAGACCAGATGGTATGTCGTTGCTGCCTTGGAAGATGAGTAGGCCTTTGGTATGGGACGCGACGTATGTAGACACACATTGGGTACATTTTATATGTTAAAAACAAGTATATAAGTATACACAAAAAACTTATACTAGATACAGTATACCTCTAAGTTTATCAAATGTTAGTTGCCCGCAGTGGACCTTACACTGTAACTGTAGGGCTAATGGTCGGAATTAGCTTGAACCGCTATTGTAAATGAGTAATAATTCTGTGTATATTTTTGTTATTCAGTCATCAAAATGGCTGACATTTGGAACAGAGGTACATTATAGTCTGAAGTAATCAAAATGGCTACTTTTTACCCCCGAGAACGCAGAAAAGCTAAGCCGCTGGCAGAAGCTAGTTTGTCGATAAAACTATAAAAATTATTATTATTTAAATATATTTTTAGCCGTTTGGCGTCTGCAACCCATGCACCTCGCGCTTGGTTGGTCCCGTGTCAAACGGTAGAACGTGGACGGCGCTGGGCAGGTAGCACTTGTTCAAGTAAAATACCGACTTTCAATCGGTTCTGGTTAAGACTCAGTGCCATTCTGTTAGTGGCCCTTGTGGACTAACTATGAAGCAATTTCTGCCTAGGGCGTGCATTATGTTGGATCCTCACATAAACGCAGTCATCGTTATATCGATTCGTAACCCAGTCGGTTGGTAATTTTAGTCGTTAAAAGAAATCGAAGTTATGGTAAGTCGAGTTGGTACTTACAAATAGTCGTTAAAGGAAATCGAATTGTTATATGAGTGTGTCAGCGAGAGCTGCGGACTCTTGCCCCGGCACTCCGGCAGTGGACGCGAGGTGCGCGCTGTGTCAAACTGCTCGTGACCGTTGCCGCGTCACGGACACTAGCCACACCGCAGCCCGCGCCCCGCGGTCCCTGCTCGCAGCTATCTGCACTGCTGTCAGTATACGACACCGCTGCAATCGCTACCATAGGTAGCTTCTTTTAAACTGCTCCTCTATCAATGCACAATGGTCAGTCAGAGTTTAAGTAGTATTGGTCTGGAATTTATACATATGAATTCGTAAAACCAGTTTATCCTGGTGTCGCGTCGCATCATCTTGCCGCACATTTAACGTTCAGTTTATACTGGTTATGTAACGCTCTCTGTGTAGCAGTGTGTACATAACTATAAGTATTATATTGTATTATAATTATATGCGTTATACTCCAGCAGCCCACGGGCAATAAAATAAGTCTTGATGTACACATTTTTTAAAGGTAGTACGAATGTTTAAATCACTCTTGGCCTGGAATATGTCCGCGTCCAATACTTGTACATTGTACAACTATGCGTGCTGTATGTATGTGTGTGTGTGTGTGTGCGTGTGTGTGTGTATGTGTGCGTGTGTGTGTAGTCATCCGATTAGTTATGTGTGGCTAAGTGCTACAATCTCCCAACGTTTTAGTTCATCCATTACTTTGGATTGAAGTCATTAAAATCCAATTAATATAACGTTAATTTACTATACTCTGCATACTATCGCAGACGCTCGAGCATATCAACATGATTCCATGAATCATTAGACAAATTATTATTGATGACAATAACATTTAAGTAGTGACTTGTATGTACATTTAGTTATACATATTACAAAGGTACGCAAGACGTTAGCTTCCGTGCGATGAGAACGTGTCCATGTAGTAAAGTATCCAAATAAAATGGAACCTTCCACATTCCAGCGCTGCACCGAGCGCAGCTCCACGTTCCTAGCAAAGCAGCGCGCAGCGAGCAGCGAGCCGCCTCAGATTACCGATACGCCGATACTCGTTCGTGAATTATTCTCAAAACAATGGATGCTTACTATACGAACAAAGGCCGAGGATGGCGCGAACCGTGTGCGGTGCAATGTGTTGCATTTTCAGAATAGCGAGCAATTATTTATAATTATTAGGAGCATGTAAGTTCTAGAAGCGAGAGAGCGAGTAGTTACAATTACAGTGTTATAACATTATTGTAAAATGTTGGTGAGATGCGCCAAGTGTTTAAACAAGGTGCTAAGTTCTATTCATACTTTTTTAAACACGAGGGTAAAGCGGAGAGAAAGTAAAATCTTTGAATTTTTTGATTAAAATCTATTTCTGGTTGCTATTTCAAAAAAACACTTTTGTTACTGTATAATGTGCTATGGTGAACCTTAAAGGAGGGCCTTGATTGGTTAGCTCCAATAAACCAACCAATCACATCGGTGGACGCCGTCTCGTTTCTATTACTTGATACGTAGAACAAACTCGTACAAAGGCCTCTGGTCGGTTTATTGGAGCCAGCCAATACTTAGTCGACAGAAGACGATATCTTAGTTTCACTCCGTCTGTTCGTAATTAGAATACATACCTTTTATTCCCTCCCTGTATCAGAAAGAGAGTTGCGTTTTTTGATAAGGTAATCATAATAAAACTATCAGATTACTTGAATGCGATTGGATGAACAAAAGACATCAACGCGCGAACAGAAGAGTAACTACATTTTATTGAGTAAAACATCGCATTATTGTTGTAACATTTAATTTTTAGTTTCAACAGTCATTTAACAGGGCAAGAGTTTACGGAAACTTCCGTAGTAGCTTCCGTCGATTCAGTACACGGTACGTACTTACAATACATTACATGTCGCATTTATATGTTTCATTTATACACTTAATTCACTTCAGACACAGTCAATCATACGACAACAGCGATCGTAATCGTTACGAAAATACAAAATAATACTGAAGAATAAATATTCACTACGACTAAGTACATAACATTACATTAAAGCTCAAGCCTCAATTCGGCAGTCAGTTAGCAGTCTCAGTAAAGTCGGACACGGCACTCAGCACACTGTCTCCATGGGGACCCGCGGGGCGGGAGCTGCGGGCGCGGGGGGCGCGGGGAGCGCGGCTGAGGCGGGCGCCGGCGTGGTGTGCGTCAGGGACTCCCCGCAGGACGGCAGGTGCGTGGAGGAGTGCGTGGCGCGCGCCTGCGCCCCGTCCCGTCCACGCGCGCAGCATGCTGCCGCCGCTCGCTTCACGGCGGCCCACGCGTGGGGCTGGCAGCCCACCACCAGGAAGATGAACACGCCCTGCAGCGCGTTCAATAGGTCCGTGGCGTACCACACGTAGTCCGGCCCGCCTGCCGCCCACGACACCACGTCTGCTCCCCAAGTCACGCCCATCACTACCACCAGCTTGGCGCACACGCGACCCAGGGCCGCCCTACGAGTTATAATACATTTGTAGTAAATATTTACTAACTTTTGTGCACGCTTTAAATTAACACAATCAAAAATGTATGTATGAATAGTAGCTCACCGTTCAGAAGTGGACTTGACTTCGTCGCGCCGCCAGAGGCCGCAGGTGAGCTGCCGAGTGGTCGAGATGAATAGCGCTAGATTGACGAGCAGCAGGACGCCCACGGGTCCGAAGAAGTAGACCAAGATCTCCATGTCACCGTAGAACCAGCAGCGTTGCACGGCAAAACGCGGGCGCAGGAAGGGCGCGGCGGCGGCGGGCGGCAGCTGGTCCAGCGCCGCGGCCGCGCCCGCCAGCAGCAGCGGCCCGCCCCACGCGTACACCATGTACACCCGCAGCCGCCACGCCTCCTGCCCGCGCTCCAGCGACGTCGGACGGAAGTCCCTGCACACACGCACACTCCTTCACACCCACACCAACTCCCGACACGCCGGTGTCTGTGAGGCTGTGATAGCTCATGGCCTCGCAGAATGGCTCTATACACCTTATGTCCAAAATCTATATCACACGACTAAACAGTTTAGAGGTAGTCCACGGAGGTACAACCGATTTCAGACTGTTATCGATTTGTTACAAATCCAACAATTTTAGGTAAGTATAAGTAAAGAGTGGCGGATCGACTGAAATCAATGTTATAAATGCGTACTTCCATACATTGCAACACAAAATGAACCTTAATCGATAGCTTTGTCCAAAATTTTCATCAAAACTAGACTTTTCTTTTTTTTTCTTTTTTTTTTTTAGAAAAGTGTTGCCCCCCACTAGGATTATCTCCTGTGTCGTGGGTGCGTTTACAAACATACAAGTTCACATACACATGAAACCCAGACCCGAAACAACAATTTGTGGATCACACAATGTTGTTCCGTGTGGGAATCGAACCCGCGACACGTTGCACGGCAGCCGGTTGCCCAGCCACCGCACCAACCGTGCAGACTCTATGAATTTTTTTTCGAACAATGTATGTAAAGTAAAATCAACCAAACCATTTCGAGATTTTATGTTCCCAGGTTATGGTATTTATGTGCACTGAGAAACCGTCACATTTATAATAGGTATTAGTGTGATTTTTAATTTATTTGAAGTGTCAAGTAGTTACTTCCTGGGTAGTAGTTTTTAAATGATTGTATGGAAAACTTATTTGTACTACCATCGTGCATTCGTGCCTGATGCCAAATAAATCATTTACATTCTATCGAATTGAATGAAGTGTGTAATGACCAATGGTAGTTGTATGTACAATGAATAAAATAAAGTATTCTACAAGTACATTTTGGCCGAAACAGCTTCGAGCCTATAAATCTTTAAAAGATTATCTCAAGTAACCTCTCGTTCTATGCCTAGAAATAAATTTCATCTTTCTTCGATTCCTAAATTCCCATCTTAACCACAGAAAATACCTAACTAAATAAACTACTGTCTCATGGTATCTAGTATAGAAGAACTAAATGTTTAACACTCACCGGAAAGTCCACCAGATGTTGAAACACATCGTATTGAGCCAAAAGAATGCGGACAGGAACAAGAAATGCATGCACACCGCTACACAGCACATGAAACAAACGAGACCTCCGTGAGCACCACAGCCGCGGGGCCACAGCCAGACATCACTGGGGCCTCGGGACCGGGAGTCACTCACCCAGCGCGCGACACAGCGCGGGCGGCACGCGGTCCCCTGCCAGCTGCGTAGCGGCCAACAGAACGTCCCCCAGCATCAGCGCCGCCACATAGTGCGTCTGGCAGCGCCAGTGCAGCGCATGGTGAGCCGCCGGCAGAGCGAAACCGGCTGCCAGTGTGGCCGCCAGGAAGGCCGCTCCCACCGCAAGTCCTGCGCCGTACAGGGCATGCCGGGTGGCCTGTGTCGTCGGCCTCTGCGACCGCGCCTCCGCTTCGCAGGCCAGCACGCGCGTGCCCGCCTCACCAAGCACGGCCTCCGCGCACCATGTGCCACCGGCCAGTAGCTCGCCGCCGCCTCCCGCCGCGCGCAGCTCCAGCTCACCGCGCGCCCCCAGTCTGGCGCCCGCCAGCTGGCCCGCCACGGCATAGCGCGAACCATCCCCACATAACGGCCAGCCGAAGCCGACCGCACCGCCGGCGCCGGCCGTGGCAGCCGTGCTGTTGGAGCTGGCGGCGAGCGCGCGCAGTTCCTCCAGCGCCTCCTGCGCTCGTTCCGCCTGCTCCACGCAATGCGTACCGTTGAATGCTCGCCCTTCCGCACAACATTTCGTCGACTTCCACGACGTATCATCTGCACACACCAACGCTGCGGTCCTGTCGCAGCAATACCTTTTCAGATCCAATGGCTTCGAGACTCCACGTATCATCATTGCGCCGTTGCGAGCGAGCAGGGCATAGGGCGCCGCGTACTCCGGTAACACTCGTAAGGGTTTACAGTCTGGAAGTTTTCCCCACTCGTAGCGCCAATGACGCGGTACATAGCCAAGCGTGACGAATCCCGTGTCATTTGGGTTTGTGCGATTTCGTTTTAACGCATACACTCGTGGAGACCAGGTAACATTCCTGTCCACCTGTTCGCATGGTGCCGCGGCTACTGTCGATGAAAGTATGGGAGAACGCAGCGCCTCGGCAGTGAGCACGTGTCCCTCTGGGCAGCAGCGCGACACCAACAGCATCGACAGCTCCGACTTGACGTCGCCTGCCACCCCCCATAGCACACAACATGCTAACAGGCAACTAGCGAATAGTGACATATCGTAACGAGTTCACTATTCACCGATCGCATCGACAACAAAAGGCCTGCTGAGCCTGCATCGCAAGCCGTTGTCCAGTACACTTTTTGTACGTTTCTGTTACACAATGTTTTCACATGACAGACATGACACTAAAATATTACATATATAACAGCACTTTCCAACTACACACAACTTTACGTGTTGTTATTGGGATAATAAAAACACGTGTACGAAACCGAAAATCGCACCCGACGCGGCCTCTCCCTCCGAACACGGCCGCGATACTAAAGCGACTAGCGATAGCGACCAGCGAGTGGTAGGTCCGGGCGCGCGGTGCCCTCCCTCCGCGCCACGACTCCGCGACTCGCACGTGCACACTGCTACACAATACCCGATACCCAACCAAACCACTGCCCACAGCAGGGCGCAGCGCGCAAGGGTGCACACAAGAGGTACTACCGTCGTATAATGCTGTGGGTCTGAGTAAACAAGTTGCTCTTGTCTTGGAGTCGATAAAAAATTTTAAACAAGTAAACTTCAAACATTAACTTAATAACAAATATTTAAATTATTAAAAGTTCCTACGCAGAAAGTTGTTTAATGTTCCATCAAAATGTAACAAGTTTGTTTAGTTACATACTTTTAGATAATTTCGTCAGTCAGCCCAGCTATTTGGTATGCAGGTACGAAAATAAAGATCGTTTCAGTAGGTACAGAGACTGTAACCATTGGTTTGCTTCGGAGACAACCAAGTAGACAAGATATGGCTTCGTTAAAAACGGTACAATTTACATTTGTTTTCTTTTATTTTCGGTGTTATCTCACAAGAACCTGAGGTAAAAATGGGTGTTCCACAAGGTTCAATATTAGGTCCTTTCCTCTTTTTAGTCTAAACAACGATTTACTACTTACAATACCCCCATATACGTGGCCTATGTGTTAACATAGGCATATACACTTAAACATGATTGAGACACTAAAATGTCAGTGGTTTATTTATGTGTGCGTGTGTAATGGATAATATGAATAAATATTTTTGAGGTTCTATGGATTCTTTTATGTTTTATGTGCTGCTTTTTACGAGGATTATAAGTAACTTAGGAATTTTAATTCCACTTATTCAACCGTGTCCCTAATTAACTTATTCAAACATAAGGAAGGCAGTTTTGCATTGATATATGATGTGCGCAAATATAGTATAGCTATATGATATAATTACTCTTGATTATTTATTTATTTTTAAATAAGCAATAATCCACACTAACGAACGTTTATTTTTATATATCTTCTTTTGTTATATGTATATTTGTATCCAATAATTTTTCCATACTTACATTATTTCCAGCGAAAAAACTACAAAACATTTCTGCACCCAAATTCAGGGCAAATGAAATTGCAAATTTGGTCATTGTCATTTACTTGCTACACCGTTATGTACGAAGTGTAACGACAGACATGACAAGTGACAGACATGTCAATGTGTGTATGTCTTGCGTGCAACTCTATAGTAGCCAGATCGGCAGATGTCCAGTCGTTGTTTCAAGAGACGGTGTCTAATTTAGGTTTAATTTGAAATAACTATGAGGCGCGATGTTATGTTATGTTGAAATAACTAAACTATCTTTCGTGCATGCCCAATAACGTGGTTTACTGAACATTCGCAAAATGACGAAACTAAAATCCTAATATTGGTGATTGTTTTCCGAGTATAACATTTTCTAATAATAGCGGCTTCCAACCTGACTTCTACCACCTTCGTATAAAAGGAAATTATAAAGCAATACACTACTGTTTTTTCCAGAATTTGGATAACAAATTGGCGGGAAAAAAATCAATAAACGAGACGCAAAATGTCTTTGAAGAATTTGTTGCTTCCCGTCCAGTAGACTTTAAGAAGGGCATCAATGAAAATAAAAAAGCGTGAAAATCATTGAAGCGGCTGAAGAATTAAGACGCTCATTCAGTTCAAGAGTGACCATCACAGAGATAAGAAATCGTGTGCGACGGGCATGTATTCATCCTAAGGAAGATCACTTTGAACATTTAGTAAATTATGACGTTTTTGAAATTGCCCGTTGTTCTTAATACTATACTTATCAGCATGCTAATTTCATGTTTCTGGGTAGCTAATAAACCAAGGAAGTTTTTCTAATAGTTTGTATGCTTAGTGTAATAGGTATATATATATTTTTTTTTTTTAAATAAATCCAGTTTTCTAGTGACTAAATTAGTGACTCAAAACAAAATTTGATACTGATTTACCTACTTGCTATTTTAAAATGGATGATATTTCTGAAAGTTAATTATTGTCAATAAATTAAAACCAAAATCACTCAAATCAAATCAGTAGTTTTTTATTTATTGATGTTTTTGTAGTTCGATCGGATTTTTTTCACCAAAAACGAAAATGTTGAATATCTCAGAAACTAGCCACTTTCGGACCAGAGACCTCAGAGCTAATTTTATAGGAAATTAGTTGTAGGTACTATCACCTCCCGAGAGGAATATGTCGAGTTACAAGTCACCCTGTATTATAGAGGTACACCTTTACATTATACAGTTAGGTAGAATATAGGTACATTGCACATAATTACCACAGGAAAGGGAGATCGTATTCAAATGATTACCTAATTACAAACGTAAAAGGTAGGTAAACAGGTAATAATGCTTACTTTAGTTCATTATTAAATTTCAATCTTAGTAGCAGCGCCATCTTGCGGTATAATGGTAAATTAAAATAGTAGTACAATGTACATCCGTAGTACAATAAGGTTTCATTTGTACCGCTCGCGCTGTCTTGCGTTAGGTACGTGCTAACAGAGGTCGCCACCGTCGTAACCCATTATGTACATATAAAAGTTATTATTAAGTTATTGTTTTAGTAAGTACATACCTATTTTTTTTTTTTTGGAAGGGGGAAAATCATCCAAAGACTTCTCCCGCCCGGGTGAGGCGAGAGGGGGTGCCAGACTCTTACTGACTAAAAATGACCCTCTTCCTACTCCTGCACTTCGACCCGGAACCCCGGCAACCCGTTAAGTCCTACGCGATTCCGTCCGTCCGTGGTGGTCTGATGGCTCATCGTCGTCGCGTTCGTTGAGTTCGGGTCTAGTTCTGGTCGAGCGGTTAGTCATCCGTGCTCGCCGTCGCCATCGCCGCCGGAGATGGTCTCGCGATCCCGACACCCAAAGTGACTCTCGCGACGGCTGGGTCATGAGGAGGTTCGTTCCCTCACGCATGCTGCCTCCTCCTTAGCTAGCATGACTACTTCGAAGAAGAAGGAGACGGCATCTCAGTCCCCCTCACTCCACACCATAGTCTGACCTAGAGCCGGACGCGAGAGATCGCCATCGCCGATCATATTACTGAGGACACGGCTCAGCCCACGCAGAGCACACTCATGTCGCTGTATGCTCCACCGTGTTCTCCAGGCGGCCCTCGCAGGGATGACAACCGGGCATTTCCTGCCGCCCACTTTAAAACAGGAACCTACTGAAACTTTCGTGTCCAGTAAGCACTTACGTCAGGCGGTAGGTCAAGACGCCATAGCATCTCTCAAGCCACTCCTCAAAGAGAGGACTTATCGCTGCAATACATTGTATGTACTCTTACATAGGTACCTACTTTAGGGAAGTTCCGAGATCTTTATTTTGAAATCTTCCCCCAGTGGGGTAAGATTGAAATATATAAAGCAAATAATTTATTTTATATTTGTTATGCCAAGGTATTTTGACACTACAGGTAGTTCCGAGCATTCAAGCCACTTCAAAATAAAGACTAGTGAACATGAACAACGTCAGATATTCATTTGAACAATTTTCGACCTCTCTCCATCCACCCTTTCGTCTTTCCCCTAGACATATTTTCGTAGTAACAACATATAACTTATTTTTTTCTGCTTTTAAATAGATTTAATCGGATGATATTTTTTTAAAGGGGGAAAATCATCGAATGTCTGCTCCCGCCTGGGTGAGACGGGAGGGAGTGTCAGACTCTTACTGACTAAAAACCACCCCGTTCCTGCTCCTGCACGCCGAGCCGGAGCCCCGGCAACCCGTTAGGTTCTCCGCGACACATACAATCGTATACGTAATATATAAACAATTGCATACCAACCATGTCGTGTCCCTACATATTATGTATTTGCTCTTAACTCGTAACAAACATTTTAGAAGATACGTAAATGTACCGTTCTACACGACTTCCAACACAACACTACTCATCTCATTAAAAAACTGTTCCATCTTGCCCCCACTCACCTTACTACGAACTATTTATATTGAAGTTAAGAATGCTTGGCAGCATGTTGGTCCGGCTCCGCAAGACAATACTCAATACACTCGGTAGTTCCTCATACTCTAAGAATTAGTCTTAATTTCAATGTCATCCAGATATCTTATGGCATCGAACATTTCTTTTTATTTTCATCTGAAAGACTTCATCAAAGATTTTTATTTGTATAGTATCATTATTTCAAAACGTAAGTGTCCATACGTGGGCACCATGTCTGAAACGATCATTCATAGCTTTTTATTTTATTTCAAAAGCTTATTCCGGATACAATTTTGATGTTGTATTGACGTTACATCGTTCTCACATATACGTATATACATTAGTTTAAGGATCAGACAATGTATCAATGAGTGTGTAATTTTTTTTAATGAGTAACTATGGAATATCTTGCTCGTTCTTCTCCATTCGAAACTACGCTTGGAACGAGCGCCTAGCTTCATTGACAGACAAACGGACGGAAAATTAAATGTTTGACGTTTCAAAAGTGCATATGGAATAATTGAAGTAAATGACTTTGACTTTGACAACATTCTTGATTATGTGGTACCTACTTTTGTAAGAAATATTTTTATGTAAATTAAAATTAACCAGGAATACTCAGGAAAATGCATTTATTGGTGTTTTATACAATGTCAAATTGATAAATAGAGCCGTTCACGACACTCAGTTCTCGCTCAGAGTATCTGTCAGAAGTAAATCAGTGATGATGCTGAGTTCGGGCTCGCTCGTCGAAGTCGGAATAAAATACAGTACATTTTGGTGTTATCATTTATTGCGAGTAGGGCGAACAGAAGGAGCACGCGGCTAAGGCGGGCGGCGCTCGGTGACGGCGGCGTCGGCCGTGGCCTCGTAGCGCGGCGGGTTGGCCCACGGGTCGTAGCCCAGCACCGACAGCATGGGCGCCAGCTCCGCCATGTCGGCGCGCACGTCGGCCGGGATCTGGCCCACCCACTTGTCCAGCGCGTCCAGGTTCACGGGCCGCACCACCTGGTCCGACGACCGCTCCACGCTGCGCAACACAACATTCATGCATACACCT